ACCAGCACTGATGGCAGTCAGGGCCCAAATGCCTCAGCCTCCCAAAACTCATTCCTGAAACGCACTAGATGTGGTTTGTCTGAGGGCCAGCCCCAGTGGGAGGGAGGAGCGGAGCCTGGTGGCCCACAGCAAGAAGCAGCCCACCCCTGTGAGAGGTGGTTCTCCTGGCTCTCCCTGCTCCTTCTTGGGATCACCTGCCGAGTAGATCCCCCACCCTCAAGTCCTTGTTTCAGCCCTGCTCCCAGGAGCCCCCGGGCTCTTCTGACACAGGCAGTCCCCAGGCTGTCCAGAGTGCTGCCCAAGGCCAGGGGGACCACATCACGTGACCGAGGGGAGTGACAGGACCAGATCTACCCTGATAGAAAATGAACTCTGGGGGCAATGTGACACGGAGGGTGAAGCTGTGAGGGATGGGAAGCAGGAGGCCAGTTAGCAAGCCGAGACCCGTGTCCCAGCAGGAGCTAGTGAGCACGAGGCCGTCTTCTGTGGCAGTCCCTTGATTTACAGCGGGGGAAGCCCCGTTCACCCAGATGGGGTGGAATCTAGCTGAACATCCCCTGGGCGGCCGTGGCGGCAGTGGCATCAAGCCCAACATCGCTAGCATTTCACGGCGGCTTGTTTGTTTGTTTCTCTCTGCCGTCTTTGCCTAACAAAACGTGATCCATCGGTCTGACTTCCCCGTCTCCTTCCTCCTCTTTGCTTCATCTTGTGGTCCCAGGATCTCGACATGGGAGCCAGGAAGGTGAAGCTGTACGTCAACAGGAGCCTGGTCTTTGATGGCAACTTAGACCAAAGCGGCGGCCAGGCTCCAGCCAGCCAGAGCATCCTGGTGGGCCCGGAGCATGAGACAGCAGACCTGTGCCCGGCAGAGAGCAAGGAGCCCCACGAGAGGGCTGGTGCCGCCGCCAAGGAGGACAGAGAGCTTCCTCTCAATTACTCGCTGCCAGCCGGAGTGTCATTGGATGTGAAGGGCTCCTCACAAGGAAATGTGTGTGGCGGGACAGCGACTCCCATTGATCCCCCAAAGGAGAGTTCGTCCAAGTCAGAGGATGATGGTCTAAGAATGCCAGCGGCCACCGTGCCAATGGATGACGTCCCCCGGGACCCTGCCCCTGCCGCCGCCGCCCCTGTGACAGGCCCTTCTCTTGATGAGGAACTTTCGCTGGTCCAGCAGCTGGAGAGCCTGGCCAGCAAGAAGCTCTCTCAGCCCCCAGGGCACCCCCCAGCCTGGCTGCAGCCCTCCCCCAGAGGGAAGGACAGGAAGCAGAGAGGCTGGAAGCCCAAACCCCTCTGGCTGAATCCCGAGCCTCCGGTGGACTGCAAAGACCAGCCTTCACCGGACGACAGCCCGGCTGGGAGTGCTGGGGGGACTGAGGCTGGAGACGCAGGCCCCCGGTGGGAACAAGGCTGGATGAGCAGCTGGAGCGGCGTCCAGGGCAGCGGCAGGGCCCAGAGGATGAGTCCCAGGGTCTGCGGGGACAACCTGGACATCTTCGACCTGCCGCCCAGCAGAGAGCGCCCGGCGAGCGGGCGGAGGGGCCCGAGGAAGGATGCCCTCGGCGGCAATCACAGCGCCAACCAGCCAGCCAGCAGAGGTAAGCGCCCAGCCCCATGGGAGGGAGGGTCTCTGATGGGCACAGATGCACTAGCACCCTGGGCCTCAGTTTCCCCATCTGCAGAGCAGGAGGTGGTTTGTGACCAAGGGAAGAGGGCAGGCGAGTCAGGCTAGCCTTTGTCTTCTCAGCTCTCACCAGATGTCGGCACCCAGATGGCCGTTCAGTTGTCAGTGGCAACATTAACATGGCACAGGTAGGAGGGAGGATGGAGAGGCCTGAGGCACAGTGAGGACACAGTGCGTGGGCAGTGCCACTCCTGCGTGCTGGCCTCTCGGAGGAGGTCAAGATGTCAGGCCAGCTTGCAAGTGTGTCCTCTCCTGGTTTCGAGAGGAGCCATCATGGAGCACTGGCAGCTGACTCCGGTCATTGCTGAACCAGGGTGTGGGTAAAACACAGCAGTCCGGGGGCATAGTGGGGAAGCCGTCAGCAGCTAGCTGAGAGGTTGGCACTTCAAGCTCGCCAGCCGCTCTGTGGGAGAAAGACAAGGCTGTCTGCTCCTGTAAAGACTGGCGACCTGGGCAGCCCACGGGCAGTTCTGTTCTGTCCCATAGGGGTGCTGTGAGCTGGAATCAGTCTGGGTTTTTGGTAGGTCCCCCTCCCCGTGCCCTCGCCCCCAGCCGAAAACAGAATGAAAACACTGCCTTCAGTGCTCCCCTAGAGAGCTCGTTGAACTCCACGGTAGATACTTCTGAAGGCCTTTCCAATGCAGACAAGGCACCAAAGGCCATTGGCAGAGAGAAAAGTACAACATCGAGAGGCCAAGCATTGAATCCAAACGCTGCCCCTGGTGGACCGGGATCCCCTGGCCGGGCATACCCTCTATCTGAGCCTCGTGTCTTCTTCTGGGGGAACAGGCGTGGCACGGACACCACCCCCCCCTCAGTGTTGGGTGGGGTGAATGGGGCGAGGGCTTCAAAGTGGTGCCACTGAGCCTGGCACATGGGCAGGGCTGAGCATGTGGCCGCCATCTTTCCACACTGGCTCATGCAGCCTTCCCCAGGCCAGGGGTTCAGGAGTTTGCTCCCACCCTCCCTGCACAGAATCATGCACTCGGGGCTCAGGATGCTCCTGTGGCCTAGTACCCCACCTCCCACCTGCACAGCAGGCGAGTCCTGAAGCACATTGTCCACCTCATGGGGCTGGATGGGGCAGATCAAATGAGATCATTCATGTGCAGTGCTGGCCTTGGCAACACCGCCCTCCCTGATCCCCGTGCCGGGGAAGCCCAGTGTGAGGTGCAGTCTTGGTCCCAGGCCTTCAGGGAGGGGCCTCCAAGGGGATGGGTGTTGCTCCAGTTCAGCAGACTTGGCTTCACTGTGATTTCCAGAACCCGGCCTTTCACACACAGCTCAGTTCAACGACACATTCAGGGCTGAGCATTGGGGTTTAGTGCTCATGAACTGGCTGTGCTTATGGGAAAATGCCGCGAGCGTTTCATGTGACCCCTTACGTTGACCCAGAGCCCACCACCTCCAGAAAAGAGCCGGGCTGAGCACTCCTGGGAGGCTCTCCTTCCTGGGCCGGGGAGGGGGGCTCGGCATGAGTGAGCACCTGCAGATACCACAGGCCCCAGTACCCTCTTACTGTGATGACAGCTGCACCCAAGAGGGTCCCTCTTTGGGAATCGTGTGGCTACAGGAAGGAGAAGCTAGGGGCCCTGTTTGAGCAGTGACCCCAAAAGCAAGCCTCCTCCCTGCTGAGTTGAACCCAACTCGTCAACAACCTGTAGGGCAGCGTGGAACTGCCTCTGGGGTTTCTAAGACCGTGACCCTTACGGACACTGAGTGGCCAGTGGGTTTGAACTGCCCATCCTCTTGAGTACTGCACGGGCAGGGCTGCTTTAGGAGAGCTTTACACCAGGGGGACTGGATGGAGGCACCCAGAAGCCCACAGGAACCATGGGCACTCTGCCTGGTCTCCCCAGCCCTGCTGGGTCCCCACTGCTCTGCTTGCCCACTCCCCCCACTCTTCCTCAGGAAACCAGTTTCGTCTGCCATGTTCACACGGCAAGAAATGAGCTCACAGGCCTTGCCTGGCACCGGTTCCTGATTTTCCTTCCAGTAGCCAATTCAGAAGTCCCACCCGAAGCCCCCAGCCCCTCCGGTCAGGTGGCCATCCCTTGTCCAGTCAGCTGCTGTTGAAGGGGACCTCACTCAGAACAAACAAAGCTCTCGCTCATCTCAAAGTACAATTTAAAAGTCCTGATTTAGCGGCAATGAGCGTGTGCTTCACGGTAGCGCGGCAGGTGATGAAAAACGTAGCTCCAGAACTTCCTGCTTGGTCTTAGCCTTCACCAGGGGGTATTTTTGAATCTTCAGTCTCATGATCCAGTCGCTGGTGGTGGTTCTGTTGACTCCGTCCCGAAGCAGCACCTGTCTGTCGTTTGTTCCAGTTTGTGGGTCGAAATCTTGACAAAGGCAGAGCCTAGGACGGGTCCCAATTAGTCCCCAGATCCCCAGGGACTCGTGAGCAGTATGTTTTCTGCAGACACAGAGGGACACGGGCCTGCTGCCACTTGGAGTTGATCCTCGGCGTAGAGCCCGGAGGGTACACCTTGCAGAGAAGAGGTGAGAAAGCGGGTGCAGAAGGGAAGCCTGGGTGCTGGCTCTCTTGCACTCCCACCAGAGAATACCGGGCCGGGGCCTGCGTGTGTCAGCCGACACCGTGCCTGCAGTGCACAGGCAAACCCACCCAGCCGTTCATTTCAGTTCCTGGAAATCCAATCACACACACTGAGGCCATCACAACCCATCTGGGAAGCTCTTTCTGCCAGATGTTAGGCCACAGGGCTGGCGGGGAGAGGGTGGAAGAAATCACTGGGCTCATTGTTCCTGGCAGGTGAGAAGTGGGGCGGGAGAGGACAGGTGCAGGAGCAGTGACAGGTGGGGGGGAGCCCAGGGGCATTCATCCCTTCCCTCCGACAGCATTTGTTGGGCATTCCCGTGCTAGGCACCTTGGACACGGCAAGGGCAGGACACACAGGGGCCCTTTGCTCTGGATCATCGATTCCTACCAGGGGAACAGACAAAGGTCAAATTGAGAGGGGGTGATGGGGAAGGTGGAGTGGAAGGGGCAGAGGAGGAGATCAGAGAAACCACCCCAAGGAGATGAGTGACAAGTAGCCAGGTAAGGGGAGCCTTCCTGTAGCAAGCACAGGCCCCTGAGACAAGACGAGGCTGGCGTGGCCCTGGAGTGACAGGCCGGGGTGCCTGGGCCAGCATGAGCCTGGGGCCAGAGGCTCTGTCCTGAGCTTGGAGAATCAGCAAGACCCAGACTCCAGGGCTTTGGGAGCAGGTTAAGGAGTCAGATTTTATCACTTTCTGGGTTGTGGAAATGGTGCCAGCTGGAGGGCCTGATGGCAAACTTGTCTGAAGTGCAAGGGGCAGGCAGATGGACACGTCTAAGACATGGCTGGAATTGGAAGAGGGAGCCCCGGGGGGAGGAAGCTGGGGCCTGATGAGAGAATTGAACAGTATGTACCTAGAAGCAGGGTGAGACCTAGCGGGATGAGCATGTCGGGAAAGGACTTAGATAAATGCCTTGGAATGCACCCAGACTTCCGTGTAGAGAGCCAGGGAACGGAGCTGTGGGCCAGGGAGCTAGAGAGGCAGGAACGTGCACTATCCCCGCCACCAGCAGAGGGAACGCCGGGGAGGCAGGTTGGCCTGGAATGTTGAGGCTCCTGGAGTGAGGAGTGAGAGCGGATTGGGGAGTCATTGGCCACCTGGAGAAGTCCATTTCAGCAGGAGATAGCACGAGTTCAAGAGACTTGCGGATGGAAGGGACAAGGGCCACGAGTGGTGTGACTTCAGCCCCGGCTGGTTCCAGTGGCTCAGAAGGGGCCACAGAATCTCTCTCTGCCCCCCAGGTCTCACTGCCCATGTCAGCTTTAGTCTCAGGCAGGTTGTTGCTACAGGGCAGCTCACCCCCACCCTGCGCCAGCATAGCACCTTTCTCCCCTGTGCCCTCCAGAGTCCCAGCGTGAGGGGTTCTGTTAGCCCTCCCCCAGGGTAGACAGCTGAGCGAGCAGGGGCTCTCCAAAGGCAAGTCAGGGCGCGTGCCCTGTGCCAGGTGGGCATTCGGGGGTCAGGTCACAGGGGGTTGAGAGCGGGAAGCGCCAGTGAAGGCACGGACTGTCTGCCGAGAAAAGGGAAGAGAAGCCAGGATGGTGGTTGCCCGAGACCTCCGGTTCAGGCTGGTTCCTTTGTTCCTTGTCTCCTAGGTGGGAGAGATTTATGTGCGTCTCCAGGCAGAGAGGGGACAGTGCCCGTGGGGCAGAGTGATTGAAGATTCTGGAGAGAGGAGATAATTGATGGAGCCGGGCCCTGTAGGAGACAGGCAGAAAATGGAGAGTGCAGGGAACAGCACGCCGTGAACGGAGGGGGAAAAACAAAACAAAACGAAGCGTCTGTGTCCTCAGCCGCTGTTTTTGCAGAATGGCCCCCCCTTAGATGGCGGTCAGCCATGCGTGGCTGCGAGGACAGCCAGCCCCTCTGTCCTACAAGCCGGAGGGCAGGGTCTTCAGCACCAGCCCGCCAGGGGCTGGCCCACACTCGCCCGATGGTCAGACACAGGCCGAGGCTCTCGGAGCAAATCTCAGCCACAAGGAGAAGCGAACTCCCTCCTGTCCCAGGGCCCACGTGCTCCTGCTGCACAGAGCCCCCACGGGCCTGGCGTCCAGGAGCAGGAACTCGGTTTCCGACGGTTCCGAAGGCTAAACGGCCAAATCTTGGTTTTGGCTGTGTTGACTCCTCCCTGGTCAGTCGCACCAGGCCTGCCCGGGTGTTTTCCCTTGGCTTGTGTGCGACCCTCACTCGGTGTCTCTGCGTCCATCCAGCTCTTTCTGTCGCTCAGAACCCACCCCACTTGAAGTTGGATGCCCCAAATAGGGTGACGCAGAAAACACCCTTTCCAGACTGGGTCCTGCGTACAGCACAGGGGCCACGCTGTCTTTGACTTGTTTGTTTTTCTGCCAGCACACATTTTTCAAGGCAGCTTTTGGCCCGTACACATGCCTTGCAGTCCTATCTGGGACATTCGCTTTTCCACATAGCCTATCTTCCCCGAGTCTGAAAGTGATCACACACTTCATCTGGGGAACTCGGAAGAGCAGAAAGTTACCAAAAAGATTAAAATTAAAAGTACTTCACATTCACCCCCCAGAAACTGATCGCCGTGAACCCACAGAACGCATGTCGCCCACAGTAGGACGACGTGCTGTCTCTAAAACTGCGTGGCTGGGGCTTTTCTACTGAGCGTTCTCTCACGAGAAGGTGGTCTTTGAAAAGACCGTTGGAGTCACGTGGCTGCGACACATGTCCCAGATGCAGACCTCGACTTGCACACTCCCACGTCAGGGCAGCAGTGTGGCCGCAGGGAGGCGGGGGTTCCCCAGGTGGTGGAAATACTGCTGGCTGAGTCGCTGACTAACCCAATCTTCTCTGGCCCCGCGGGGCAGTCACACGCACTCTTCCCAGAGCCTGTCCAGACAGACTGTGTCTCGGGAAAGGGGCTCCAGTGGTGTGGCCGTTTCGTGTTGGGCTGCTAACCGCACGGCCGGCAGTTCAAAACCACCATCCGCTCCATGCGAGAAAACTGGGGCTCTCTCCTCCCACCAAGAGTTACCGTCACAGGGAGAATCCAGGGGCAGCCCTACCCTGTGCTTGGGGGTCACTGCGAGTCAGCCTGGACTCGACGATGGCAGTGAGTTTGGTTTGGTTCTAGACCTTCCACCCACCGCCACCGAGTGGAATCTGACTCCTGGTGACCCGGAGGGCACAGAGGAGTTTCCGAGGCTGTGGATCTTCCCCGAAGCAAATAGCCTCAACGCTGATGGGTTCAACCCACCGACATTCTCTTTTTCACTGACCTGTATCCCCGCAGGATGGCCCACAGTTCTGTGAGACTCTGGACCATGCTCCGGGGACCAGTGCAATATCCTGTGCTCACAAGTATTGGTGTCCCTACCCCAGCCCACCAACTGCCAATAGACCCTCTCTGGCACAGAGCCAGCCAAGGACAACCCCACCCACTGGTGTCCCAGACGCAAGCCCGCCCAGTCGAGAGCCTCTAGCTAAGAGAGGCTGCCTCTCCATGCCGCCCTCCTGTGTCCTCTCTTGCAGAAGATGCCTTGCCCGCCCAGACGCCCCCGCGGTCCTGGTGGCGCAGCGAGCAGGAGCACGTGCTGCACGAGTCCTGGAACTCCCTCAGCGCCTTCGACCTCTCCCACCGGGGACGCATCTCCAACACGGAGCCCCAGGGCGACATCCTGGATGAGTTCCTGCAGCAGCAGAAGAGCAGTCGGCAGAGTGACCTGCCACCCCCCTGGAAGGAGGACAAGCCAGAGCCGGAGCCGCCGCAGGAGCTGGACAACGGCCCTGCAGAGGCAGCAGATGACAGCGACTTCAAAATCCCAGTCTTGCCCTATGGTCAGCACTTGGTCATCGACATCAAGTCGACGTGGGGGGACCGGCACTACGTTGGCCTGAACGGCATAGAAATATTCAGTGCCAAGGGTGAGCCGGTGCAGGTCGCGAACATCAGAGCGGACCCACCCGACATCAACATCCTGCCAGCTTATGGGAAAGACCCCCGTGTGGTCACCAACCTCATCGACGGGGTGAACAGGACCCAAGATGACATGCACGTCTGGCTGGCCCCCTTCACGCCCGGCAAGTCCCACTCCATCGCCGTGGACTTCACGCACCCCTGCCAAGTGGCCCTGATCAGGGTCTGGAATTACAACAAGTCGCGCATACACTCCTTCCGCGGTGTGAGAGACGTCACGATGCTGCTGGACACACAGTGTATCTTCCAAGGAGAAATCGCGAAGGCCTCGGGGACCCTGACCGGAGGTACCGTATGCCCCTAAGATTGCTCTACTAAGCCCCTTGGCGGAGGAAACAGAGCCCCTGGTAAGCCGGTGACAGGCAGGCCGTTCCTTGTTCGCACTCGTTTGTTCCTCACCTTGTAGGGCCTGGGTCAGCAGAAGCTGACCTCAGACATGTTTGACTCCTCAGGGACTTCTTCAGAATGTGGGTCTGGACAGGGGGCTATTTCTGCAGGTGTTTCACTGAGGGAGAGCTCTCAGGAGGGGTGTGTAGGACAGTGAGACCTGGGGGTTATGGAATGGGGATGCCTAGCGCAGTCTGACCCAGGGCTCCCTGCAGCATTGGTTACAGGGCCTGCCCTGCATAAGACAAAGGAGCAGAGCCTCTGTAACCCCACAGCCAGTGGGGCATTTGGCACCAGGCGCCCCGGCGTCCTCCAGGGCCAGCCAGACCCCTAGAGCAAGGGATTAGCAGGAACCTGGAGGTGAGGTGGGGGCATCCTGGGCACCAGCAGCCCTGGCCGTAGCAGCTCACTCACACCTAAGAAATGCCACCTGCTTGATGCCCGATCACAGGGATGCTCATGAAATTCGGTCCCTTCGTCAGGCCTGCCATGGTTCCCACAGTCCCTGAACTCCATTTGCACACACATGAAGACAAATACGACGTCCAAATCAAGAACTGTTAGCGGCTCAGAACTTCATAGCACGCAGGTTGGTGCCCGCGTGGGCCTTTGACCTGGAAAAATAAATCACTGGGCTCTGGGGTGAGTTACGGCCCTGCCTTTCAGCCCCCGAGCACTTTGGCGACACCATCCTCTTCACGACCGACGACGACATCCTGGAGGCCATCTTCTGTTCCGACGAGACCTTTGACGTGGATGCGGAGAGCCTCGGCAGCCTGCAGCACGAGGAGGCGCTGGGGAGGCCCAGCACAGCGGACAGCGAGGGCGACGACCGGCCCTTCACCCAGGCCGGCCTGTGGGCCGAGGACCAGGTAGGACTGGACTGCGGAGTGTGGGCTGGGTGGGTGCCCCCTAGAAAGATTTCTCCTCCCAAGTCACCGTAGAGCAGGAGGAATTAAGATGGATAGTCCTTAAGCTGCCAGTGCGACCGTTTTGACAGTTCCCATTTTTCTACTTCACTTTTCCCCCTGTATGTCGTATTTCATTCTCTAATTATTGTTTGGTTTTTTTTCTTCATAAACCAAAGCGAAGAAAGTATTCAAGTTTTAATCAAAGCCAAGAGAAGTCAGCTTTATGTCTTCTCTGTAATTTGGAGGTTGGCCGTCTCCGGGGGGATTTTTTGGCTTTGAGTAGCGTTTTGATCGTGCCCTGTTGTTTTTGATGGTAAGATTAGAAATGCTTTAATAGGCAGACTTTTGATGAAAATAATGATCATCGTGGCAGTGGCTTATGAACCGGGAGTGTGATCCAAGCATGGGGCACAGGGGCTGTCAGGTGTGGCGCACGTGGCAGCCAATGAGTAGAAATTCATATTCTCATGTAGGAAACTGAAGCCCAGACAGGTGTCATGAAAGAGATCCCATACTCTGTTAGGAGTTACCGAAGAGGGCATATTGAGGAATAATGCAGTCTGAGCTGGGCAGTGCTAGAAAAATACAGTCTCTCTCAATCAAGCTGGAGACTTTCATGCTTGAAGAGCAAAGACAAGGTAGGGGCTAGGGATGGAGTCTGCTTCCACTTTGGCGTTCTTTGAAATGTCAAGGTTGGCCATGTGGTTCAAGGAGAGTGACTTTTATTCCCTGGGTGAATGGTGCCAGTTTTACTTGCTAGATGAGTGTTTTTGTTGTTTTTTATTTTTTTAAAAATTCGTTTTTCCAGAAAACAAACTGCTTACTTCCTGACAGTTATTGTCAGGAGCACATTGCATACATTCCGACGTTTTGCTAACCAGGAATGCGTGTTGACCCCACTAGCCAGCTCTGCGGGAGAGACATAGACTTTCAGCTCCTGTCAAGATCGGCAATCTCAGAAACCCAAGGGAGCCCCTCCGCTCCGTCCTCGGGTTGCTATGAGTTGGAATTGACTCGATGGCTGTGAGTGTGTTTGGTCCTCGAGGCTGGCCCACGGGGAGGTTGAGCCAACGTGCGCGTGATCGCCATGTCACAGCACTGTGGATTTTGGTGAACTTTGAGGGCTGCACATTTGCATACAGAATCTGAGAAAGACAAGTGGTTGATTCAGCAAATCCTTGGGGTATTACGATCCAGGTGAATTATTCATTTTCCCAGGTAAAAACAAACAACAGTGACGTTGGGAATGCACAGGACTGCTGAAAGAAGACCTGCGGCCACAGAATGGGTGGAGTCTGAGGGGCATTGGGATGTACTAAATGAGGACTAGGGACTACTGGGAAACCAAGAACAGCAATATGGTTGACTGCGTGCAAATCTTGAATAAATCTCCAGCCCCTATCATTTATTGCTTTTCAAAACCAGAACAAACATGTTATTACAAGGGACAATTAAGTCTTTAGAAAAGAAATCTTGGGTGACAGGAGCTAGTTTTTCTTGTGCTTCTTATTTGAGTGGCTACGGGAGACTTTCGGGCACAGGCTTAAATTTTTTTTCATTAAACATTTTAAAATTTAATTTTCATGGGTCAGCTGACAAACAGGATCGACAGCTGTAGATGTGATGGCCTTGCTGTTTCAGGAACGAGAGAAAGTATCCTCAAAGAGAGAAGTGGGGCGAGATGGATTTGGGACGAGCTGCATTTGTACGGAGCAGTTGGCCTCTCCTTCCTGAATGTCGTCTTTCTCTGTTGACTTAGAGATCTCAGGCAGACTCAATGCCACATTCCCTTTTCATTAGATTACAAACGGCAGCCCCATACGGATAGAAGATCTCTTTCCCACAGATTGCCAGGGGTATCAGAACTGAGGGGGGGTGGGGGGGTTAAAGTGCACATCTTCAATAGGATCAAGAGATTTCAGAATAGGCTGGGAATTAATAATGTTCAGGAGCGATGGCCCCTCACTACTTTCGATATTTTAGTGCTCTAGGACATGGGCTTTTGTAAATAGGTGGAGTTACTAGCAGACAGGGTAACTCCACTGTCAATAAAAATTTGGCAAGGTTCTCCATTTAAAGAAATGTGCATAAGAAGCCATCATAGGAAAAGTCTTAGAGATAGCATCTGGCTTCCTCTGCGCCCCCACCCCCCACCCCCAATGGCCCAAGGGTCTTCCAACAGCTTTGTAGCCATTTTATCAATGTTTGAAGCTAAACTGTCCTGAAGGGTCTTATCATGACACCTGATTTAGTCATACTTGGGCTTCCCCTAGGCCAGTAATTGTGTGAACAAGCTGATATAAATTGAGGAGCCAGGTTGGTAGGCTCAAGAAGGATTTCAAATTCTCCAGAAATTAAGAGGACCAGGGCATAGAGGAGTACTAAATTGGGCTGCTAACCACAAGGTTAGCAGTTTGAACCCCCCACCAGGTGAGGCGTTTTTTTGCTCCCATGAACATTTACAGCCTCAGAACCCAAAGGGGCAGTTCCACTCCGCCCTGTAGACTCGCTGTGAGTCGGAACGGATTTTATGGCAGTAAACACAGCTTAGGAAAGTACAGAGGACTCATGGACCTTAAGACAGTCGTTCACTCTGCTCTGTAACTGTGATTGTTTCCTCAGGGCAAAGGAGATGCAAGGAGAATCACTGTTGGGATGAATTTTAATGGGAATTTTAATCAAGGGCTTATTTTCTGGGTGTTGTTTGTTTTCAATTTTAGAGGAAAAAGGAAGTTCAGATAAAGAGTAACCCGTGGAACAGGTAGAAAGAAGAGTGCAAAGAGATAGCAGCTTTCGGGAGAGCAAGAGACGTGGGAGCTGGCTTTGATGTTGTGATTCTTTGTTATGTGTTGTTCATTGTCAGTGTCCTAGAGGGAAACCGTTTCACTGCTTTTATGTTTCTTCAAGCTTTGACACACCAATCAAACGATGCATTTCACTGGGACGGCCTAATCCAGGAGCCTCAATTTTCTAATTTACTCCACAGAAAAATTTACTTAGATCCCCCAAACCCCAAGGTAACCTCTGATTGTTCCAAACGGTCTCAAGTGAAGTTGAGCCAGACAGAAAAGAACATGTGCAATGAAGGACCATAATGCTGGGTCATGTCATGATAAGGAGTTCCAGAAAGTGGTTCCAAATCTCCTTCACATAGGGCATTCCACAAGGTCAGCCCCTAGGAGGAGGTGAGCCTTATCCTATGTGAGTCATGTCAGCTGACTTGGGTATACATATTCTCCCCAGGAACAAATGGTCTAAGTTCTGATCTTTCGCCTCTTGGGAATTCATGTCTCACCTTTATCTCTGTCCTGAGATGAGTGCCTCCATGTTTGGAAAGCTCTCTGCACACCTTCAGTGACGTGGCCAACATCACACAGTCAGAGAGTAGCAGAGCAGGCCCACCTGACTCCAAATCCTGTGCTTTCAATGGATGGACACCTTTTTTTTTAATGAAAGATGACCTTCAGAGACAAGGTCAGCACACGGTCAAGGGCTAATAATCAAGGTGAAGAGACACCACAGTCTGGAGGGGTGTGTGTTCTTGAGACCAGGGAGAGAGCAGAGACGGCTGAAGAGAGGGTGAAACAACTAGAAACCAAGGAGAGAAGTTGACCTCTGAGATGCCCTTGACCAAAGTCAGGCACTGACAAGGCCTGTAGCCCCCATGGTGCTCACTGGCAGCTGCCAACCATATGCCCTCAGGCCAGACAGAGCAGAAAGGGGTGGGGGCCAGCCAGCTTGGGGTTGTAACCCTCCCTGCTTCTGAGGAAGCAGCTGCCACTCTGCCCAGGAAGGAGTGCTGGTATTACTGCCAGTTCCGATTTTTCCAAGAGAGGCCAAACACTTGGATGTTTTAAAATGTAAAATCCTCTGATTTGAAAATCTTGAGAGCTGATGGAAAATGCAGTCAAGCCTCCTGTGGCTCACAAAACATGCCTGTGGTCCGGACTTGAGCGGTGGTCTCCTGATAGTGGTTGGCCTTGAGGCCTTGTGTCCTCCCAGAATCTTTCGTCTTCTAAGCAAATCTCTGGTGGGACCCAATTCCTGCCCAAATAGGCAGGGAGGAAGCCTATTTCTACCATAGAGGAGACAAGGAGGAGCCAGAGGAAGGGGGGAGGGCCCCTGGGTCTCATCACTCGGAATAGTGGGGCAGGAGAGGAGCGCCAGCCACCCACACCACCAGGGATCCAGGCCTAGTGCTCCCATCAGGAGGCTTGGTGAGGTCAAGGTCCAGGGGGCCATTGGGAACAGTGCCATGGGCCACAGAACAGCAGGCTTCTTGGTGTGTTAGTCTGGGTTAACTAAAGCAACAAATCCATAGACACACATATGTGTATAAGAAAGAACTTTATATGCAAGAGCAGTTGAATATTGAGAAAACATCCCTAGTTCTTTAATATTTCCTCCCCATACTATATGTTCTTTGTTCCACCTCATCAACCTTGTTAGATCTGTGTATGTTCATTTGTTTAATTAAGAGCGTTGGATACATGAAAGCCAAAATAGATAACCCTTCAGAAACAGTAATGGGAGTAATGATTCCCTGAGGGCACATGAAGAAGGGAAGGGAAGGAGGGCAGAGGGAGCTGATAGCAATAATGACTATATAACCCCATTTGAGGGGAATGAATAACAGAATTGAAGTGAAGGGATACATTGAATGGTGTTAGACAAGGCAAATGATAATAATAATAATAATAATTAGGGTTCCTGGGGGGTGAGGTGGGGGAGGGAAGAGATAAAGGGGAGCTGATATCAAAGAATTCAAGAAGAAAGAAAATGTATTGCTACCGATGGTGGTAGCATTTGTACAATTATGCTTGATCAAATTGAAATATGTATTGTTACAATATCTGTAAGAACTACTATTTAAAGAATATAAATTAATTAATTAAATTAAAAAGAAAACATCCCAGCCCAGATCAATGCATAAGTCCAATATTAGCCCATATATCTGATATCAATCTATAAAGTCCTCTTCAGACTCCAGAAACACATGCAATGATGCCGAATTCAGGATGATCACAGGCCATTGGGTGGGAAGTCTTGGGGGTCCAGTGGCATTGTAAGCATCTCAAAGCTGGCAGGGGTCTCCACGTGGCTTCTCCAGGTCAGGGCACTAGCACAGTTCCATGTATCTTGTCAGCTACAAAGTCTCCCAGGGAGTAAGTAGTGAGAGAGAGTGTCTCCTGCCTCCAAGGAGGAAATACAGGAGTTCCCAGAATTCTCAGGGGAAGGCCAGGCCCACACACAGACCTCATTGGCTATGACCCGATTGACAGACTAGACTCCACCCCTTCACTCCTCTCAAGTCCCAAATTGACACCAGATTATGTAACTACCACACCTACCCATAAGAAAGACTCTAGCTAGGAGTCACACCCAGGGTTCCTGGGCCCACCCACAGTTCTAGTCATGGAGCTTCCACAAGGCAGGGCATTTGAGAAAAGAGACCAGGCCCCACCTGTGGCCCGGGTGGCCCCCCAGCCAGCTCTGTGTGCATCGTTGACGTCACCCTTCTCTCCTCTGCTTCCTCCCCCTCTGGCCTGCAGGTCATGGAGCCAGAGCTGTCGTCCAGTCCCCCCGTACCTGACATCACCACGCCAGAGCCAGGTGTCTACCATGGGATCTGTGAGTGTCCCTGCAGGGGCAGCGGCAGAGGGATGGGGGCAGGGAGGCTGGGAGAGGGGGAGTCATGGCCCCTGAAGCAGGGGTTCCTATTGGGTAGGAAGGGTGGGCTGAGACCAGCCTGGCAGGGCTGTGTCACTTCAGGAGAAGGGGCATCTCTGCGGTGTCCCCTTCCAGGGGGACAGTCGCACATTTCACAGTCAGGTGCAGTTAGGTTTCCTGAGTGGGTGGTGCTTTGGTTCTTGGTTTTGCACACTCAAAGAATCTATGCCGAAGCCCGTTTGTGATCCAGGTGGGTTTGTATGAAGGACAAGGCAGGTTTTCAGGTTTTACCGTCTCAAAGGGGTTCACAACTGGGCACAAGCACCCACCTGGAAAAGAGCACCCATGTGTACGGAACTGGGATGGGGGTGAGAATCCAGGGACTTAGGGCTTGAGGGAGCAAGGGGCAAAAGGCCTCGTAGGCCAGAGAGCAAGGGGGCAAGAGAGCGTCCAGAGCGTGCTCCCTGCCTCTTGTCTAGACACCCCTGGCTGGGGGAAGGCGTGGTTGAAGGTGTTGGTTGCCCTCATTGGCTGGGTGAGTGAGGTCATGAGCCTGGGCCTAGTTTGGGTTTCCCAGGTGTGCCTCCCCCCCATCCCCACCCCCAGCTTGGGGGCTTGAGTATGTGCATGCTCAGTTTGGGGTCTTCAGAGGTGTTCAATGGTTGCCTGATCTCTTTCCAACCTCCTTGATGGGGAACTCTGCAGACCTGGGAGGGACAACCTCTTCATCCTGCATCTAGGGACCCAACAGTGCCGTCTGTGGTCCCTGTGCCTCTGACATTGGAGGCTGCAGTTGGATCTCAGAGCTTAGAACAGGAGACCTAGGAGCCAGAAGGAGCAGAGACACCCACCAGTCCACTTGTTCAAACGTAACCTCCTTAAAGGCCACCGTGGAGCAGACCCAAAGCCAAGCCACGCCACTGGCATCAGCCAGCCAAACACTCCAACTCCCTGCCACCGAGTGGATGCTAGCTCTTAGTGACCCTAGGGCAGGAGGATGGCCCAGTGGTTTCTGAGACTGCACATCTTCATCGTTCTCCCACAGAGGGGCTGGCAGTTTTGGACAGCTGTGCGGTCAGCAGCCCAGCTCAGCTGGAGAAAGCCAGCAGGCTTGCAGACCAGGCTGCCAGGGCCTCCCAGTTTCTCAGAAGTCAGAGACCCGATTTTGATGCACATCTTGGTGTCCCGAATGATGGGTTGCTTTCCAAAACGCCACGGGAGCCAAGCACAGCACCTTGTCTGGCCGGCAGCGGCTGGTTGGTGACCTCTGAGTGGATGCCCGCTGGTGGCAGCTGCGTCTACTTGTCTCTCCGCTTTGTCCGCTTCCTCTCTCCCGGCCAGGCCCTTCCTTCCATGCACGCCCATGCCAGCACCACCATGTCCCGGGACAGCACCTCAGACGCCTGCTTCCTGTGAACAAGCTTCTGCCCGCTCACTTCCTGGGCCACCCCCCTGCTCTGCTCTGCCCTGTGCGCGCACATCACCCCCTTCCACTTATCCTTGGAACATACAGAGGCAGCACTGGCACTGCCCCACCGTCTCTGAGCCCTGGTCTTCGCTCCTGTGGCTCTCCACTCCTCACCACACCCAGCGCCTAGACCTCTGTGGGCATGTGTGCCCGCTGTGCTCCCGGCACTGGGAGGGCTCCCGAGAAGCAGACTGAGATGGGGGCTCCTCTGCCTGGGGGCATGCTTGTGGGTTGGGCTGCGGCGACGGTACAGCCCCATCTGGGCCTCAGCCTGCTCTGCTGGCCCGAGCTCAGGGAGGGGGCCGGGCCTCTGTCAACACTTGACCTTCTGCAAGGAGGCTCTCCTCTGCCAGTAGCAGGCTCAGTGGGGCACGCAGCTGTGAGCCTTTAACCACCAGCGCCCCCAACCCTGGAGCACTGAGTCCTCGGGCTCGGGCGGGAAGGTGACCTCTGGGCTGGACCCCTCAACACCCTCCACACCTCTCCCTCCTGTAGACCCCACTGCAATCCCAAACCTCACCAGGAAGTCTTCCTGTCACCTACTCTCCCTCACCTAAATGACCTCTTAGAAAAGAGGAAGTCACCACCCCAGAACGGGGACTCTCGCCTTGTTCACAGCCAGAATCTGTGTAAGAGGAGCCCCTGGGTGCTGGGAGCTTACATCAGCCACCCCACCCTCCCCACCCCCC